GATCCGAGGCCGGGGCGGACGTGGGAGGGGTGCAACGCAGTCGCAACCTCGTTCACTTTCGACGAAGTGTCGAAGTGACGGGTTGGAGGCTGGAGGCTGGAGGCTGGAGGCTGGCTGGAGGCTGGAGGCTGGCTGGAGGCTGGAGACGGGGTGGCGGGGCTGATGGCTGGCGTCAGTTCGGCAAGTCGAACTTCGGGCGGTTTCCCACCCGAATGTTCAAAAACTGTGGCCTATCTGGGCCGCAGATCTCACGCGATCGACGGTCCAGATAGGCCGCCAGTTTTTCAGCTTTCTGGCGGGCCTACCGGGCCCGGTTTTAATTTTTTCGGGGCCGGGAGGCCTCCAGGCCCCAAAAAAAGTTAAACCCCCCCTGCGATCTACTTGCGCGAAATGCCACCGGGGGGGAACCGCCACAGTCCACCGGCCGGTACTACCGGACCGGTTCCAGTGGGGGAAAGGGGCCCCGTTGGGACCGGAAGTTCAGCCCTGGAATAAAGTGATCTGCGAAGGGTGTGCCCCCCTGAGCATCACTTTGAAAAAAACAAGAAAAAACTTCAAAAAAGTTCGAAAACACAATAAAGTGATGGCTTAACCGCTAAAGGGGGAAAAAACGAAAAGTGACACGCGTGGTAGAAAGGCATGGGATAGAAAGCGGTGTTCCCTCCACTGGGGGCCATTGGGTAACTAAAAAGAAAAGTACAAACAAGGCGGATGGCGAGCTGTCAGTTACGCAATATATAAGGGATGGATGGGTGGTCGCATCATGGGTGACCGCCATTCCCGATAACCCTTGGGGTTTAATCAGGTTCTGGTGGAGATGTCTGAATTGCTGATTTTTTTCAAGCCGTACTGTGGGCAAAAGCGTGTGTTAACGATTGCTTTCCCGTGTGGCATGCATTGAGTAGGTTGCCTTTTGCAGGTAGAGGATCTGCAAGTCTGTCCGCAGATCGCAAAAGTGGTGTCTTGTTTGTTGTTTGGCCATCGCAGCATGTGAAGTTGTGAACATTTGCAGTGATTTCTACTATAACATGCTTCGAGTATTCTGTGTGTGTGTGGGTGTGTGTGTGTGTGTGTGTGCGTTTTTGTGTTTTTCCTTGTATGCACATGATGAAGGGGCTGAGCTTGGCAGAAGAGTTTGCGTCGGCAACAGCACGGGGGACATCTGTGAAGCCTCCGGTGACCTCAGCTGAGGAGCGAGCAACCATGTTTTCACATCAATTTGAGAGAACGGTTCAGGAAATGCTGATCACTGTCCAGACTTGGAATCGTGCCTCTGCGGAATTCTGTCATGCGGATAAGGATGATCGCACTTCCACTGTGGAGCACCCACAACAGGTCGGCAAAGAAATTGCAGAGCAACCTGCTGGAGAATGGCTGACTGTGTGTGCAGGAACAGCACCGGGAGAGGCAGAAGAGAAGGAGAAGGGGTGTGAAGAAAGCAAGGATGGACAGCAGCAGACAGAGGAAGAACGTTGGTCTGCTGGGCTCGAAGTCGAAGGCACCCTAGATGAGTGGGCAAAGTGCATAACACAGCAGATGGCAGTGGTGAGGTTAGAAAGCATCATGGAGTCGCTGGAGAAGACCATTCTCCTTGCGGTAAGTTTGTTGTGGCAGGGGGGGGAAGGAGGGGAGGGGTATGTATGCAAATTGTCACGCATGGGAACGTTTGTCTGCCTTTCATACCAATGCTCAGGCCTTGGGAGGTTGTGCTTGGACTTGAGTGAATCACATGCGCTGGAGAAGACCATTCTCCTTGTGGTAAGTTTGTTGTGGCAGGCTGGGAAAGGAGGGGAGGGGTATGTATGCAAATTGTCACGCATGGGAACATTTGTCTACCTATCATACGAATCCTCAGGCCTTGGTAGGTTGTGCTTGGACTTGAGTGATGTATGCAAATTGTCACGCATGGGAACGTTTGTCTGCCTTTCATACCAATGCTCAGGCCTTGGGAGGTTGTGCTTGGACTTGAGTGAATCACATGCGCTGGAGAAGACCATTCTCTTTGTGGTAAGTTTGTTGTGGCAGGCTGGGAAAGGAGGGGAGGGGTATGTATGCAAACTGTCACACATGGGAACGTTTGTCTACCTATCATACCAATGCTCAGGCCTTGGTAGGTTGTGCTTGGACTTGAGTGAGTCACTGTTTCTTCTATCTTCCCTCACACTTGAATAAACAACTGCAAATGAAATTCCGGTTATCAATTTTTTTGAAATTCAGAGAAAGGCATGAGCTCCTACGTTACCACAAACACGCACTGTATACAGTCTTACGATCACATTATATCGGGGGAAGTCAAGAGAACAACTCGGAAATGAAATCCTTATACAATTGATTGTCATACAGACAGAAACGAAATGAATATGTGAAAAATTGCACTATACGTAATCCTTCCATTGAAGTTAACTTTGTCTTGTGAATCCTGTTGCTGGGAGGGGAAGGTAGCTCCACCTTTTGGTTTTGAACTGCTGATCATGCACACTAGCAAGCTGCCCTCACCTTATAAGCGAGAAGCCAAATGTATGTTGCTTCTTGTGAAGCTCATAGAGGGAATGTCTGTCTGCATGTGCGTGTGCGTTGCATACTCGCTTGAGACGATTCCACAGAAAAGAAGGGTGAATATGTCCAACTTGTTTCGTGCACGGACTCATCAGGAGGTTGAACCTGACAGTCTGCTCAGGATGCATTTGACTTGTGGATAAGGACTCACCACCTTGCCCAAATGAGTGATACCCTTTAGAAGAGTGCCCAAAGTTAGTCACACTAGCCCTCCAATCCTTAGCTGACAACAATCGCGGCAAGTCCTGGAAACTATTCCATCACAGCCATAACCCCACTGTACACACCACCTCAGCCGGGACCACCATTGGCACGGCGGCTAGTACAGTCCCAACCCTAGCCACATCAATCCACCTCAATGGAGAGCTAGCAAGTGTGTGTGTGTGTGTGTGTGTGTGTGTGTGTGTGTGTGTGTGTGTGTGTGTGTGTGTGTGTGAGAGAGAGAGAGAGAGGTGTGTGTGTGTGTGTGTGTGAGAAAAGGTTAACCGACCCCCCATTTTTCACCTCAATTTATAAGAAAACCATAAGTCCATCCCAAGCAAACTTCACACCAATCTATAGAGTGCACTTGTGTGTGTGTGTGTGTGAGAGAGAGAGAGAGAGAGAGAGAGAGAGAGAGAGACATTGAACCTCTTGGCATATGTGTGCATTTGCAGGCGGAGGTAGCCGATGCGTGTGTGAATAAGAGTGTTGATGACAACCCTTCTGTGACGAAGGAAGGTGTTCAAAGTGAGTGTGACACACAAGAGGTGGCCTTCAGGAGGGTTCCAGCAGTTCTGCTTACACAACTCCATGGTCCATTGCGGATGCTTTGCTCGGCAGCTGTTCACGTATTCACAGACTACATCGAATTTCACAAGGCGGTATGTCCACGCTTGCCATGCGGCTTGTCATCAATTGATTTTGTACGGTGTCGTGTGTTGGTGATTAGGAATTGCATTTCCTTTATTTTGTCATCTGATCTTTCTCTGAAAGACTGGGAAGTTTTTTTTTTTTTTTTTTTTAATACTTGTCCTGCTGGTCATTCCTTGCTTCTGCAGGTTGCCAAATTGGGGTATTTCTTATCCAATTTATTTTGTTGAAATTTGTTCACTGTACAAAGAGGGTTTAACTGACTTTTGAGGGAAGTTTTGACTTGTTCTGGTTTACTGCTCGTCCACTGCCAGACCAGACAGCTGACCTTTTCAGACCTTCTGCTAAGTGACGTTTAACTTGGCCTCAGACCTTCTGCTAAGTGACTTTTAACTTGACCCATAACCTTCTGCTAAGTGATTTTTAAGTTCTAACTCGACCTCGAACCTTCTGCTAAGTGACTTTTAACTTGACCCATAACCTTCTGCTAAGTGACTTTTAACTTGGCTAGGTTCACTGCTTGTCCTAGCTCGCTGCTCATCCACTGCTAAACTGACAACTGGCCTTATGTTAACTGGTTTTTAACCGACTCTAACTCGTCCGGGTTCGCCGCTCATTTCTTGCTGCTGCAGGTTGCCAAATTGGGATATGTCTTATCCAATCTATTTTGTTCACTGTACAAAGAGGGGTTTTGCAGCTCAGAGGAGGAGGAGGCAGATGGTGAAGGCGCATCCAAGTTTGAAGAAGCTTCAGGAACAGGGATGGGAGAAGGAGAAGGGAAGAAAGACGTCAGCGATGAGATTGAAGACGAAGAGCAACTGCTTGGCGACAACGAGAATGTACGCAAGTGCCTTCAGATCAAAACCACCTCCACTCTCTCACCTGGTTTCGTCCATCAAGTTATCAAATTTGGGTGAATGAATCTAACAAGTGAAGCCTCCTCCTCTTTTTTTTCCCCTTTTTTTCAGTTTCCATTTTTTTAACTTGAATGAGTTTTTGGGTTTTGAAAGGGTTTTTTTTGTTTCGTTTTTTTATTATTTTTCTCCGATTCAATAAGGAGTTCTAAGATTACCTTCAACTAAAAGTTGTTTGCATCTAGGCTGGGCCGTCGCTCAGCCAGGCATGCCGGGGCCAGCTGGGCCAGGGGGAATCGCCCGGCAAAACCAGGCAGGTCAATAAAGAGGGAAGGATCCCCAAAAAACAGAAAGTGAGCGCTCGGCCTGAGCAGTCAGAATCCGGCCTTGCCTTCCATTTCGGTGGTTGGTCACCCAGGGGTGTTTGGGGGGTATAAAGTTACTCTAAACTGTGACTAGAGGGGTTTAAAAGGGTATATCCTACCTCATTTCTCCTCATTTATTTTTTTATCTTAGAATTATTAATGATTTTCGAGGGGACCCTCTGCCAAACGTTGCTTGGACTGCAATTTTACACAACATGTTTTTTCCAGTTTTTTTTAACTTTTTTTAAATTTTTTGATTCTTTTATATTATGTGCTGGGGCCGCCCGGGACCCTGCCCGGACCCTACCCGGCCCGGGCCCCCGTGGAGGGTACCCAGGCGACCTTCCCCCAGCCGAGCCCCCTGGGGACCAGCCTAGGTTTGCATTGCAATTCTACATGACTTTGGCAAAAGGAGGGGAAGTGGGTTATCATTTCACTGAGAGGGGGTGTTCCTGACTGTGCCTTATGGTGGGTGGGTGTCTACCAGCTTGAGGAGGAGGCTGCAGAAGGTGAGAAAGAGAAGAACAAGAACAAAGGCGTGGAAATGGAACAGGACTTTGAAGGGAAGCTTTTTGACCTTAGCGACGATGAGGAGGATGAGGAGGAGGAAGAGGGTGAAGAGAATAAGGATGAGCGAATGGATCAGCAGATGGGAGAAACGGGAGATAAGGAAGAGGTGGTGGATGAAAAGCTGTGGGGAAATGAGGACGAGGAAGAGGAAAGAAAAAGAGGAGAAGAAAAGTACGAGAAGGACGCCCCTGTGTCAGGTGTTGACGAGGAGGAGCTAGAGTATAGAGGTCGGGAGGAAGAGGAAGAAGAGGGAAGAGGGCAGGGCGAGGAAAAGGACAGGAAGCAGAAGGAGAAAGAAAAACGTGGCAGAGACACGGAAGGAAGAGAGGATGGATCGGAGGAGGAGGAGGAGGAGGAGGAGGAAGCCGAGGAAGGAGTAGATGATGCCGAACGGGTCGGGGAGGATCAAGTGGAACAGAAACATGGAGTTAAACCTGAGGAAGACGAGGAGCTACAGCTTCCAGATAATATGGAGCTTGATGGGGAGATGCAAAACGAAGAGGACAAGGGGGAGGATGGAGAGGGTAAAGAACAGGAGAGCAAGCCGGATGGAGATGGGGAAGCCGATGAAGGGCAGCAAATGAAACATGAGGAGAATATGGACGGGGATCAGGATGGTGATGGCAAAGAGGAGGGGGTGGAGAAAGATGAAGCACAAGGTCATTCCGAGGGTGAAGAAGAAGAAACAGCCGACGACATGGAGGAGAGGCAGAATGATGACGGGAGAACCGGTGCTGCGATGGACGAGGAAGAAGAGGAAAAGAAAGACGATGAGGGTGGAGAAGCCCCTCTTGCACTGGGTGTAGAAGAGGCTGCGAAAGAAGATGGAGGGGAGGACGTCGATGGTGAAGAAGAAGTGGAGGGTAAGGGGGACCAGAGGGATGAGAAAGGAGTAGAGGAACGAGTGATGGGGGTGAGGGACTGGAAGAAAGGGGCAGATCAAGTGGCACAGGAGGGAGCAGAAGAGGAGGACCATCAACAGAGAGGGGACCATGAGGAAGAAACCGGTCATGAGAAAAAGGATACAGTGATGGCAGAGGCAGAGGGAGGAAAACAGAGGGCATCATCAACTGCTGGATCACAACCACCACCGCGATCGTCCCGGAAAATGAAGCGGGAAAAGCCAGAAGCGAACCCCCATCGGAGTTTGGGAGATGCTCTCCGGGAATGGAAGGAGAGGTTGAAGGTGGTTGGGGATGCACTTGAGCAACAGAACAGAAATGAGGATGCAGATGCAGGCGATGAGGGGGAGGGGGAGGAGGAGGAGGAGGCAAAAGGGACTGACACGTTGAAAGATGCAGATTACGAATATGTAGCCGGAGAAGAGAAAGGAGAAGGGCAGACAGTGGGGCCTGCAACAGAGGAACAGATCATGGCACAGAAGGAGGGCGAGAAGGAAAAGGAAGATACCGAAATGAAACAGGATGATGAACACAAGGCTGAGGAAGATGCGGAGCAGGCCAAGGAGGAGGAGGAGGAGGAGGAGCAGGAGGAGGGTTTACCTGTGATAAAGGTCAAGCATGATAGAGATAGGAAATCCAAGAAACAAGCAGGTCTGCAGGACCAGCAAGGAAATGACGAAGATGACGAAAGAAGGAATGGCAAGGATACTGCAAGAGAGGATGCTGCTGAAGACATGGACTGGAGTGAAGGGGAAGGTGCAGTGGGGGATGGTGAGAGACAGGTGGAAAACTTTGTCTCTATTGGAAGAATGAAACTGGGATTAGAGGAGGAAGAGGGAGGAGCAGGGGAAATCGACGAAGAGAAGCGGCTTGATGGAACAATGTCGGAGGAGGAGATGAAACAGCTCAGAGACGAAATGGAGAAAAGAATGCAAGAATTGAGGATGGAGGGAGCTGAGGGGGAGGAGGGGAAAGCAAAGAGGCTGGCCAAGGCACGAACTCTCTGGAGAAGGTACGAACACATGACTTCACGGCTGGCGCAAGAGTTGTCAGAACAGCTGCGGTTGATTTTGGAACCAACACTCGCAACAAAACTCCAAGGAGATTACCGATCGGGAAAGCGGATCAACATGAAGAAGGTTTGCGTCCTCTAGTTCCCATTTGCTTCATTCAATGGAATCTATCTTGATGAGAATCAATCTGTCGTTTAGTGTAAAGTTTAATTGACACGGTTAATTTTTTTCTACTATCAAGAGTAAAGAAATTATTTTCTCATAGAGTGAACGGGATAAGTCGATGCATCAAGATTATTGAACTGAATCAAAATTGTAGAACTTAGAATAGAGGTTTATTACTATGCAAAATACTATAGATCTATGAAATATTGAACTGAATAAAAATACCTCTCTCTCTCTCTCTCTCTCTCTCTCTC